TGCAGTTATGCTTATTAACAAATCCATTTAGATAAAATGTGCATTCATCACTGAAGCAGATATTCTTTACATGAATGGTAAATTTAGAAATCAAATTAAGAAATATTCGACGAAATCATTAAATGGTGAAGTTATAAAATTATGTGAAAATGTAAAAAATCTAGGCATATCTCTTGACGAATGACTGAATTTTATTCCTCATGTCAGAAAGTCACAAAAAGTCGTTTCTTAGTACTTCAGTATCCGTCAAGGTGCAAAAAATTCAAAATTCTTGCTGTGACTTGAAAAGATATGACCACCTTACCTCTGCGTTCATAAAATTGGAATGGTTATCTATTCCTAATCTATTTATATTTCATTTACTATGTTATATTCATAAGCTTTTTCTAACCTCAATTCTAATATTTTTGAATGATAAGTTAAAATTTATGGTTCTATGCACTCACGAGATATTCGCTTTATTGATACAATAACAATGCCTCGTCACAGAACATAATTTTTTACTAAATGTTTTACTTATAATGCTACTATCATGTATAATGATTTACCCTCTGATACTAAGGGCCGTATCGTCAGTCGTCCCTACAATTGTAGGGCGCGTTTATGGCCTTGATTGTCATACTTCTTTCTCTCCTTCAAAAATTTCTAGATTACCTACACTTGTACCGTGTCAGCGTCAGCGCTCTCCTATTGTGAAGATATGTTTTCTTTTTAAATTGTAGGAAATTTCAGGCTGATAAAACATGATATAACTCAAAAGCAAGCACAATTTGATGCAAATAGATGTTTGTGACATAACCTCAAAATAGAGCGCTGACACGGAGAAGTAGAAAACTATGACAATCAAGGAGGCCATAAAGGCGCCTTACAATTGTCGGGACGACTGACGATACGGGCCTAAAGGCTGTATCGTCAGTCGTTCCTACAATTGTAGGACGCCTTCATGGCCTCCTTGATTGTCATAGTCCGTTCTCTCTTTCAAAAATGTCTAGATTGCACCTGTTCCGTGTCCGCGTCACCGCTCTTCAATTGTGAAGTTCTGTTTTCTTTTTGAATTGCAGGCAATTTCAGGCTGTTGAAACATGATATAAATCAAAAGCATTAACAATTTGATGCAAATAGATATTTGTGACATAACCTCAAGATAGAGCGCCAACACGGAAAAGTAGATAACTATGAAAATCAAGGAGGCCATAGAGGCGTCCTACAATTGTAGGAACGACTGACGGTACGGCCCTTAAGCTTTAAATTTTGATAGTTTCAGAAAGTATTAAAAAATAAATTTCTAGCAATCATTATCTTAAATTTATCTCTCACGTCTGCTTCTATGCATTAACATCATTCTGTACGTATGTAAGCTTATAATGTTATACTTTATGTTGAAACCTGTTCATTTTTAGTGGTATATTATATTGTTTTATTGGTAACTTTACGGTTTAAGTGGTAGAATAGATAATGCTAAATTTCACCCAATAAAGACGTTTTATTATTATTATTATTATTATTATTATTCACAATGAACTTGTGCTGATTGGAGAAGGTGTAAAGAGCCACCTACAAGATGAATAATGAAGGCAATGTTAGCATTCCATACTTTTCAAAAAGTTCTTTGCAGCTGTGAGTACGACTGACACCTGCCATACAGCGCAATATCTTCTTTTGGCAGAGGAACACACACTTGGCCTATGATAAGCGACCCCAAAAGCATAAGCCATACCGAAACCTAGATTCTACTTGAGCGTTGTATGTCACTACCAGTTGACAATGTTCTAGTCCAGTCCTTCAATTTCTTATTGCAAAATCCTGCGAATTTTGCTTTGAAATAACATAATCACAGTGTGCTTTAAAGTTGCAACCTACATCTAGATAAATCCACAAAAACGTCACATTATGATCTGTTTCTCCTTGGTACCTCTCCAGGAACTTCAAAATCTCTTCGTTCAACTAGTCACTCATTTTGTTGTTATCCAACTGAACCCAGATTATCGTTGCAAAGCTTACACCCATTCGCCACCAGTGCATAAGCGAGACTGAGGCGCACAAACGTGTGGCAAACTCCTTTTGATTTGCGACCAAAAAACCGACACCCGATCCGATCGGCTACAAGCGCTTGCAAAGCTACGCAAACCAAGCCAAACGCTGATCTGCACGTTTGCGTTTGTGCCGATTTGCGACGATTCGGCAAGCGTGCGGTTCCGGTATTAAAAAAATAAGAATACCAACTAAAATGATAGGATACTTTACAGTAGATCTATAATGTAAATTCTGAAAGCTGACTTGCAAAGAGGTAAGGTTTTGATGTAAATAAGATTCCAGTGAAACATTTGTTTTCTGAAACTGATATTGCGTGCCTTTTGGTGCATAAGCTAGGTCTAACTTAATCTGAAATGTGGAATCAAATTCAAAAGTTTTATGATTAATTAAAGTATTACATTCTAAAATAATATGTGTCGCATAATGTATAAAAGAAGTACCTTTACAGTCTCTTATCTTTGTTAGTTGATTAGTATCAATTACGTAATTATTTTTATTTAATTCTAATATTCTCCTGTAGTTTGTTACGCTTTCAGACTCACACATGTCGAACCTCTGTGGTTGACAGGGAGACTGGAAAGTACTTTTACAAACATACAGTTGATTACTTAGTTTAATAGTGTCAGAACAATAATAATTCTTTTCGTAAGTTAATAAATACTCACAGAGTGATGAGTTCATGATGAATAGAAATCGCAAATAATTTATACAATGTAAATTCCTTAATATCTAAAATGGGAAACTTAATTACAAATATAATTTCATCTTGTAAACAAATAATAGACATTTGAGAGAGGTCATAGATTTCGAATAAGAACATCACGGGCTTCGACCCATGAAGTGCACCGTGCACCTCTTCGAATTCTGTGTTTTGAAATTTTGAAATGAACAACTCACTTTCTCGGATAAAGGTATACAAATTATTTTGGTTAGGAGAAAATTTTGGCAGAGAGTCTTTAAGACTCCTGAATCGTAGTTCAAGCATTCTGTAACATTAATTACCATTTGGTTGTGCCATTGTGGTTTCAGAATTTGAAATATTTTGGTAAAGAGAAGAATCAGTAGAACTAGATCTTGAACGTGGATAAGTGTAAGGGGAGTATGAACTCTCTCTACTAAATCATCTAACAAGAGGCATAACAATACTATCTTAAATACTAACAAGCAAAAATGTAGCAAAAATCAAATAAGTCATCTTGTTCTCCAAATGGTATCTCTTCTTTGTACAATATCAATTAATAGCAAGATTTCCTTATATTTTTTTCTTCAATTTCTTCAATAAAAATCTTCTTAGTTCTTAATAAACTTTTTAAATCTACTTACAATGACGTGATCAGCATCGATGTCGCCAAGGACCCATTCGTTCTGTTTTCTGGTTGTTCTGGATGCAAAAGTTTTCTCCAAAAAGGTACTGGAACTGGTATGGTCTTACCGGCCACTAGGATAAACTTGGAACAGGAACTTGAGAGGTCGTACTCGTTCACAGGTTTCAGTAGCGATACCCAATTGCAAAAGTTTGAAAACTTTTACCTTCTAAGTTCAGCTGGCTTCTCAGTGAATCTTCTTGATTTCTGACCAAGTCACACTACTTGTTGAAGGCTGGGCATCCTGTTCGCAGCGCCAATTAAATACGTGTGGATCGTGAGTAACGAAATGAGTACAGAGAATCGTCAAAGACCCTTTTTATATTCTAGGATTAGAGTTACGAATTTTCCAGAAATCAGTAGTGTCCGGTAAAAATGCAAGCATCTTCACATCCTGTCTCTCGAGCATGGGACGGTGTTATACTCGTAGGGATTTGGATGGTGTTAATGCTTTAAGGTCATGGCATCAGAATATCATAACTTATGCGGCATCTTCGTTGCAACATAACCCCCCTACTTTTCTGAAGTGGCAAACGTAAGGAAAGAAGGAAGCAAATGTGCAGAAGAAATATCATATTGTGGCGCGAAACCAAGTTGCATAATATTTTGCAATGTTCCTGGTTCCTACGTATTTGAGATTTTGGCGAAAACCGGCTCTCTGGGTAAATTGGATGCGTAGATTTCGATAGAAGACATGTAACTCTAGAATCTATGGGACCATCCTAAGACACCCATTTTATACCTCAAATTTGGCCACACGTCGCTTCAAAATATTTTGATGGTCGTACTTGAATTTAGACCAAGCCTAAGTTAAGCTAAATCTCGTCCACATGTAACAACTCTAATATGTTGAGGTATTTATGAAAAAAATTACCTCAAGGTGATTGATTCTGCTTGCATGCTTAACAAAAAATCAAAGGATCAAGTCCGTTAAACGTGTCCCTTGCCCTACCGACAGTACCGACCATCTGGCAATATTGCTATGACTAACCTCACCAGCCACCATGCCAGCCATTCCTTTACAGTTATTTACACTGTATATCTACGTTTGTTGCATTGCGTGCGATGCGTATCACGACAAATTTTTTCAGTACATCATCAGGGGTCTCTAAAATGTCTAAAAACTAGTTTTGAGCGATTTTAATATTATGCCCTCTCCTCCGCCACTAAACCGATTTAAAAAAAATACAAAGCTTTTTGGTTCAGCAGCAACCTTGTTTCAAAAGACGGAAATGAGTGACATTTTCCAAATTTTTCGCGAATCCACCGTCGGTTGGACGCTATGACTCACTTTCTATTCGCCTGTAACAGCAGGAGACAAAATAGAAATTTCGTCCTACACAGTCCAATATATTTTGAAGTTTCCAAGATTTCAATGAACAGGTTGCACAGGTTTTGGATCTAATGACGGCGAAAAGTCCAATTCCGTTCTGTAATTTTATCGTATTTAGCATTGAAAGTAATATCCTGTTTGACTGTACTAACGATACATCCCATTATTTTAGGGCACCATCCTTTTCCCTTCCTTCTTTTCCAGGGATCTAAAACAACCTTACCTAATTTGGCTCGATAAGTTTACTTCCCTATTCAGTTTATTTTTACCCAGTAGTGCACAAGAACGTCCTCAGATTTAATTTGGTCGTTACCTTCCCACCGCCAATTTGTAGCAGGTACAAAACTAAGTAAATAAAATTCGAATAAGATGCACAACTAAAAAAAAAAAGAAAAAATAAAAGCACGAATATCTCCCCTTTGAGAGCATACTACATAATTTAAGTAGAATTCAGGTAGTGCGGCTAATAAAGGGGTCAAATTTAATAATTTTCCTTGAAGATTGAGTGATGTTGATGATCTCTCTTTGGATTTTATGAAAAAATAACTCCTTCCGGTGGGTTCAAGGGGGGATTTAATAATGCCATTTCAGTAGGCTGTAACAGGTTTCATCGAAGGTTCTCAAATTTTGGAAAATTCTCAAAATTTGTATGATTTTTGTCATTTTGAAACTTTTCAATTTTTAGCTTTTCAAAATTGTCAGGATTTTCAATATTTTCAAATTATTGAAAATTTTTAATAATTACAAACAATAAAAAAATTTCGAACTGGGAATTTTCAAACTCTCCAAGATATTGAAAATTTTCAAAATCTTTAAAATTATCAGGGTATCCAGAATTTTGAAAATCCTCAAAATCATCAGAATACTCAAGATTTTCTGAATTTTTAAAGATTTCAAAATTTTCACAATTTGTAAACTTTGAAAGTTTACAATGTTTTTCAATTTTCAACATTTTCAAAATTTTCATATTTTCAGAACATTTATAATTTTCAGAAACCACAAAATGATCAAATTCCTTGAATATTTAAGTTTTGAATATTTTGAAAACTTTTCAAATTTTGAAAACCTGTTATAACCTACTGTGAAATGCAAATATTGAAATCTCCCTTAAACGTTCTTCAAGAAAGCGTTACTGTTCGTTTGAAATCCATTGAGGGATCAAACGGCACTGGATCTTCAAGAAACGTTTATAAATGGGATCTTTAGATTTAGACGTCTGCTTATGCTGTAATGTGATTATCATTAATGTGTATCCACAGTCAGTAAATGGCCTCAATTCGCGGATTTCAATATACGAAGTAGGCTGCCTACCCAAATAGCAGTCAAGTCTTCGTCGCAGGGTCGGCTCTACCATTTAGGGAACTACGCGACCACTTAGGGTATCAGGGCCTAAGGGGCGCCTAGACTGGGGCCATGAGGGCGGGCGCAGGGTGGCCTCATCTGCGGATAAGTGCAGACAAAAAAGTAGGGCAAATATATATTTTGAAAAAATAATAATAATAGTTTTGATTGGAATGTATATAGATAACAAATATAAATCCGACAACATTCCAAAAGGAAAGGGGATTGGCACGGCCATTTTTTGGAAAGCTTCTTTACACTTTGATGTTTCTCAATGCAAATATCATACTTTTACACGTAGGTGAGGATTCAGGCTGAAACGGGCTGGCCTATTTAGGTTTTTCGGAAGTTAATATCTCGGTTATCTTAAGGCTTAAGGGGTATATTTGTTACCAGGAAAACTTGCTTATTATTATTGCCTGACCTATACGCTCTCGAAAGGAAAGTGTCCCAACATTGAGGAAACCCGGTATAATTTAGTAGGAATCTCCGGAAAAATATGGAAGATTTGAAAATTTGGATGATAATTGGAAAATTCAGAGAGTCGGAAAATAATTAGCGATTTTGTAAATTTTTTTTTGGAAATTTCGAAAATTGGAAAAAAACTGGAAGCAATTTGGATTTTCAAATATACCATATAACAAAAATCGAAGCTCTTGATTATAAGTAGTTTTGCTGTCGTTTTAACACTAACATTTCAGAACATAAATTAGTTTAAAAACACTAAAAAAACACGTTTTAATATTAAACTGAACTAAAATGTAGAGAATAATTCTCAAGTATAGGACAGTTTGTATTACTGCAATAGAAAGCCCAACAATCAAGTACGACTAATTAATTTATAAGATCAAGATAAAAATTATGATATTAAGAAAATCAATTATAGTAAAAAGGCGTTTGCAACTAACTATATTTTTATAATAAGTTCAATTTTGTAAATAGCAACCAAAAACATAATTCAAACATTTTATATCAAGCACTCCACGTTTTTTACTATGATTGATTTTTTTGTTAATATCTCCATTTTTATATTGATCTTAATCCAAATTAATTTGTCATACTTGATACTACTATTCGTCATTATTCGTCAGAGCGGTCCGGTGGACCTTTGCTCTTAGTTAAAAGTCTCGTCGCTCTGTTAGTCTATCAGGTCTGGCTACCCAGATACCAAACATGTTTAAGGGGAAAAGGGAAAGAAGGAAAGAAAGGAAGGAAAAAATAGAGCAAAGAAAAGAAGTAAATCATTTGAAATAGCTTAAGCATTATTGCTCTGACTACTCGAATTATTTTGTATTTCCAAAAAATAATTTTTATCGGTTTTGTATACTGAAATAATTTTGGCTGGTCTGAATTTACAATTTAATTTTGATCACAGTGCGAGGCTCGGCTTGGAATATTTGCGAACTTGCTCGACTGTGTAGTCTACTGAATCACGCAACAGAATGTTGCTGTGCGATTCCGTTTGATTATAACTCCGCTGCGCCTGTTGTTTTACGTAATCCCTCAGATATAGGATATCAAGATCTCTGTGAATGGTCTCATTTGACACGTACCAAGGGGCGTTATTAATTGTGCGTAGGGTTCTGTTTTGCAGGACTTGCAGTCTCTTCATGTGCGTCTTGGCAAGAAAACACCAAGCCGCACATGCGTAGGTGATTTCGGGTCTTATGACCATTTTATACAACCGAATCTTGTTGATCAAACTTAATTTTAAATTTCTGCACAACAAAGCTGCCGAAAAGTAATTAGGAATTTTCTATCCAAAATATCAGAATGTTTCTGCCAGGTCAACCCCTTGTCAATGATAACTCTAAGACACCTGACAGACTGCTGCCATGGTGTACGAGTTCCATTCACTGATTTTTAGTACAATAGATTGCCTGCGTTTTCGAAGTATTAATTTTGATCAACCACCGATCCGCCCTTTCCAATAATTCCTCCACTTCACAGTTGCTGGGGCAAGGGACGTCATGTATATAAAGTGAATAAAATATTGGTCCTAAGACCGAACCCTGAGGAACACCGGCTCTTACTTGATTGTTGGATTTTATATCGTAGTAACCTCTCATAGAATTGAAAATTATTTTCTACGTCTTAGCTCAATTTGCTATTGAAGCGTGTCTTTTTAGTTTTTTCATTTAAACTATAATTTATTTATTGTTCTAATCATCCTACATATTAGCTTCATTCAGTACTACAAGTCACTGGACGAAAATCACTTATCTCTGTTTTGACCAGGTAACAACTCAAACGCAATAACAGCCATGGTCCTCAGGGGATCGTCAAGTAGAAAAGTACAGAACTGATTTGGCGACTTTTGACACTGAAAAAGGAGTAACATTAACGTGACCGGGAGTTGCAAAAAGTTTCATATTGAGAAATAACAGTGGCAAGGTGTTTTTGGGCAAAAAGTTTTGCGTGGTATAATCATGAAGATGATCCCAATTTGCGGAGAAATTGCTTCCTGGAAATATGTAATGAGAAAGGTCAGAATTGGGCGTAGTTTTGATATTTGATTTATTGATACAGATTGTAACAGATCTGGCTCAACGTGTTGTGCGTCAAGTAGACTGCAACATGTTCCTAAACTTGTTAGTAGGAAAACGTAACCTTAACCCACAAAAACACCAATAGATAACTATATGTGACAGAAAAGAAAACTCACTATTGAATACAAAAAATGTATTGTTTGCTTTTTTTGTCCGAAAGAATAATTCTATTTCAGATGATACAGGAGTTTTCCGTACCTGAGCTTTTCTGATACCTGGGTATCGGGTATTTTCAATTGTAAATAAAACTTCATACTATCAATCAGTTCAAATATATATTTATACATAAAAAATTAAACTTTTTAACAAAATAATAATAGAAATACGATTCCACTGTCGTATTTCTTAAAAAAATCATGCATACAGAACCATTACGAACATTGATAAAATTTAAACTTCCTTATAGACTTAGAAAAGAAGTCCGTGTTATTCATTTTAAGGAATAGGATAATTTTAAACAATTCAGGAGACCAACGAAGGTTTTTAATTGATATTGCATATACAGGGTGCGGCAGAGAGGACGGACGTTTTTGGGATGGGTAGAACTCTCCGCCTCCGTCTACGAGAGAGGTGGGGAGGGTGCCGTTTGACTCGTGAGATTCTAGAGCGGCCTCCAGACTCACGGCCAGAAGTCTCGGCGTGAAGGCTCGCCGAGATTTCTCGCGAACCTAGTGTACCTGTTCATACTCACGAACTTTTCTTGAGTAATGTTCTCGCCCGTATCCTGTATGGACGATTTTGACAGTGCCGCGGCCTTGGTATTATGCGCATTAGCATACTATAATCTAGTCAATATTAAAATAAATACAGTTAAGAAAAGAAAAAGGCCCAGACGATGGTGGATGACACAAATTCATCGCAATAGAACAAGGTTTGTATGTGTTTTTAACTTTGAAAGAATAAATGTGATAGTTCTATTATTTTCTCCTATAGCATATACAGGTATAAAACAAATTACCCTGCCGCTGAAATTAGCACGAGACTAAACGAGAATATAGATAGTGTCTCCTTTCTCGCCGAGAAAACCCTTGAAGCGGACGAAAGTACCGACATCGTCCGGAGAACAGACGAGCCCGAGAACGAACCTGGGAGAAAGTCGTCACATTCACACTTCTCGGGTGTTCTCGGGGCATCTCGCCGTGAGTCTGGAGGCCGCTTAGCATTATTTTACCAGTTGTCGTTATGGAGCCTTGGAGCACCGCGTTTTCGCCTATGATTGTTTCGTCCGAAATAATGAGTCACTCATCGTCGTACAGCGTGAGATTCGTCGCCACTTCAACATTCATCGGAATAGAGCTGTTCCCTCTCGAAACACCATCCTTCGTTGGGTTGAATCACTTCGCAGGCGTGGTGAACTGATCAACAGAAGACCAAGAGGAGAGCCGCGAACAGTTCGAACTCCTGAAAATGTTGAACGCGTTCGACAGGTCTGTCTTCGCAGTCCGACTCGATCTGCCCGGAAACATGCTAGAGTATACGCGAACAAGCCCCGAACTCTGGAGGAATTAAAGGGCGAAATTCGCGTGGAAGGCATACAAGTTGAGAGAGCGATGTTGGAGAGAGTCTACGCGAATTTCCAAGAACGCCTCCAGCACTGCATCAACGATTTCGGCCACCACAGGCCTGATGTGATTTTCCACACTTGACTGTCTCAAATGCTATTTCCTTGTGAACCTGATTCCATCAATAAATTTGTTTTTGAGTAAAAATTAACTATTTTAAGATTTTTTATAGCCGTCCATCCTCTCTGCCGCACCCTGTATTAATGAAATGAGCTTTGCTCCTCAGGGGTCTCCTCCATGATGCCGGCGCACAATGTGCTTGCCAGGCAGACCCGCCTGACTTCCGCCTCCCATTCAAACCGTGTCGAACTTCATACATCCAGAACTGGCCGATACGACCGCTCCTTTGTCTCTAGGGTATCAGTGTGTACATAAGGAGGCTTTTCCCAGTTCTACTAATAATCTTAGGCAGTTCAATACTCGGATTAACAAAGTTCCTTTGGCATCCTCATAGCAGCTGCTGTGCCCTGGCATTTAGGCTTCTGCCTGCGCGGCTGCTTCGATGTAAAAGACTGAGATTTCAAAAAAATCAATGCGTTATTGGAACGATCCGAAAACCTATTCCGTGCTTTCGTTACAAAACTATCTGTATTACTATGATTTATATCAACCTATTGCATTTTTACGACAAATTTAATGTCGTTAATAATTTATGGTGAAAAAAGTACGTTCTGCAAAATTGATGACTGAATAAAAATGTAAACATGGGAATGACAAGTGATCGCACTCTTATTTCCAGAAAGCATCTTCGTTCGTCCGCTCGGAAAACAATTTTGATTCGGTTTTACTGCATAATCTTATTCAAAAAGGACTACTTTTAACAATTTTGCATGTTTTCAGGCAAAAAATCGCATCATAAATTGTTGGAACCATTTTTAACACAAATTCCAAAAATTGTTTTCGCACCAGACATAGTTTTTCTAGGTTTTTTGGGTCATTCTGAACAAAAAAAAATCCGTATGAACTGTTCTCTAAGGCGCCAGTTGTTTATCAAACTGAAAAAAAGAATTTCCTAATTTTTATTGATACTCGGGTAATGGGGTTTTTGTATTACCCGGGTCAGAAAACTCTTGGATAACTGGGTATACCCGACCGTGGTACCCGGGTCCGAAATCTTAATACAGCCCAAATGACTTGATGGATTTCAGCATATTAATCACAAAGGTGGATCCTCTAGACTTTTCTGAACAATGCGAGTAACACTGGATATACAGGGTGTAAACGTTATGATAGTCATCATTTAAATGGGCGATAGATTCTTTTAGAAAAAAGCGACTTTAAAGTAAAATGAAATCTAACAACGCCGCAATACCAGACGCAAATTACGACGGAACGCAGTGTAAATAAAGATGAAGTTTGTTATTTTTGACTCTTAGGTATTATTTCATTATTCAATAATGTACTCGTAAAATGCAAACAATTAAAAAAACGAACGGACTTACCACTAACTGGCTCAGCGCTTCACCTGGTGTGTAAAAGTTTATTAAACGTATTAAAAAAATCCACTTAAATAATAAATAGTGAACACAATTTTGATACATACTTTGTTTTTCTTTTTAAAACCCACACTGCACTTTTTTGTATTTAAAGAAGGTGTTCAAAATGTCGTCCTCCACTTTCCACACAAGCTTCATTACGACTAACCCAGTTTCTTCTTACTCTAGGTCCTCGAAGTTTTCCATTTATTATTTCAGCACCATTAAAAATGTTTTCGACTTACGCGAACAAAAACAAAACAACATACTAACCACTGTTACCGTTTGCAATCGATTGCTGGTTCGATAAGAGTGATAATGACCGACGCGCTGTTGTCATGTGTGTTTTAAATATACAATTTAATGAAACTTACTTACTGACTACAAATTTTGGCTTAACTTAGAAAAACTTAATGCCCTTTATTTGTTAATTACCCAATTTAAGAACGTTTTAGATTAGATTATAAAAATTAGTAAGATTGTGGAGATTGTGGTCAATATAAAGCACTTAAAGTTGTAAACTATAAAGCCATTTAGACAAAAATCTATTGACTTTGGGAACATGGGTCATATGAACTTTTTGACTTGTTTTGACCCCCCCTATTACCCATTTCAATAATGACTACCATAACGTTTACACCCTGTATTAAAATCTTGTAAGATCAAAATCTCGGATTTTAAATCCAAATTTCAACTTTGAAATTTCAATTTCACTGGTTACAGCGCAAACGGCTTATTGATTTTGACGTTTGAGGTGTCTTTAGGTTCGACTTGACTGCACAATTGAAATTTCATTTTTTCAGATACTGCCGTCGAGTTTGTGTTATTATTTAATATACTTGTTCTCGGCGTGACGTAGTATGTTACAACGCTGTTCCTCCACCGATTGGCCAACAGTGTTGAAATACAGCTTTTCCACGGTGTTTAAAAGTAGCCACACACCATAAGGCTTCACCTGGATAAAGTATTTCAAGACTACGAGTATAAAAGCTCTAAAGGTCATAAAAGGCTAGCCAAAAATTATCGTAATTTTCCGAATGTCAGATTAATGTGTAGAATTATATGAGCTGCGGGATAGATTTAAATGAAATAAGTGAATTTTTTCAGATTTGATTAGAGGAAATACTCAAACATAATGTTTTTTAATCTGATACTATACAAGAGGTTTATTTTGTATATCAAATATTTTCATCCAATGTTTTTGTGCGGGATGACATTCCACAAATAATTATTGTTGATTTGTTGAAGCGCAATGAATGCAATAACCTGCGATCTGCAAAAAAATAATTAATATGTATTAAGTAGTTGCTGGGGTATGATAATTAATCCAAATAGACTGCACAATACAACATACTTGCGCGTTTGAATAAAATATACTGAGTGACAAACAAGGTAAACACTAAGTTTATCCGATTTCAATAGTTTTTGGCATATACTTCGAAGTTGAGTCATTTATTTTAACAGTGTGTAGATCTGATCAAAAGAAATGTTTTTTTCCTTTACCATTTTTCTGGTAAAATTAAAGTAACAAAGTTATAGCCCTTTGGAAGTTTGAGTACCGCCCTGTCTCAATAATATCATGTGTTCGTGTTTGGCAACAACGGTTCATCGCATCGGAAACAAAAAAGCGAAAGAATTTGGAACGATGTTTTTACGATTACAATTCAGTTCAGTTATACATACAGTCAGTTTCAGTCGCGTGTGAATAGTGTCTGTTGCGTGGCTCAAACGAAATAAAAAATGGCACATGTTTATGCGGATCGGTTTCCCAATCGAGTGCAACCAACCCCTCGTGCCTTTGTTAATGTAGTACAACGGGCTCGTGAATCAGGTGACTTAAGACCTCACAGGGGACCTCACGATCAAATACAGGTCCGCACTGAAATACTTGTCGGGAGGATACTTTATAAAACAAGGTAAAATTTTTTTTTTATTTTTTTTTTATTTTTACACACATATTTTGGTTTATCTTCCTTCTACAATCATTATCTGAAAATTAATGACTCAACTTCAAAGTATATATAGTATATAGAAGCTGGTTCAATAATGTGTTGAGGATCCACGATTACTTATACACTCATTGACACGCCTGGACATCGTGCTGATAAGGTGGCGGATATCCTGTTGGAGTATCTCATTCGAGTGGAGGGTGTTACAAATCCAAGAGCCTCCGACCTATCATGTTCCAGACATGTTCAATTGGAGATAGGTCGGGCGATCGTGGTGGCCAAGGTAGGCGGTTGATGCGATGTTGATCCACGAAGGCTTACGATGCTCTGGCAACATGCGGTCTGGCATTGTCTTGTGGAAGAATCGGGTTTTGGATGGTGTTTAGGTACGGAATAAGATGAGGCTCCATTATCTCCTGAATATCGCGTCGGGCTGTCATTTTGCCTCTGATGAAAATTAGTGGTGATCTGGTACCATAAGCAATAGCGACCCATACCATAACTCCCACGGTGTGGTGAACGTGACACTCCCTGTCAAATTGTGGGTCACGTCTTTCACCACGTCGCTTTCTCACTCAGCTGTGAGAGGTAGCACCCAATGTGGGCTATAAGAAAAAAATACCAAACTGCCGTGTTCGGCGATATACCGTACGCATACCAACCATCTTTTATACAGCGTAAGGATCTGTTGGTCCTCCAAGAAACTTCTCTTATCGATAGACCGGCTTCACGCAACCCGACAATTAGACCCCTCTTAAATTCACTTACGAGGGTGGTCCCAGGAGTACCCGGCCTGACCTAGAGATGGCGATAGTTGTTTGAAAAATATCATTGTATTAGAAAGTATGCAACCTATAAAGCATATGTGTCATGTTTGAAGACGCCACGTTGTTTAGTATTTGTTTGGCAGCCATCAATACTGAATGTTTTCAGTGAATTTGTGAAAATGGAGAAAACTGGTCATCGTTATGTGGTACTACTCTAGGTGAGTCTGCTCCTTTGTTTACAACAGTAAAATATTGGGTAGCAGAGTTTAAACGAGGCCGTACGAACTGCCAAGGCGAGCATCGCGGTCGACCAAATGAGGTGACGACTCCAGAAATGGTGAAGAAAGTTCACAAAGCGGTACTGAATGATCGTCGATTGAAAGTGCGCGAGCTAGCAGACATAGTAGGCA